GGATCGCCAGAGCCCGGCAGGTCGAGGCTGTGGTGGCCGGGAGTGGCCACTGCACTCCAGACTGGGCGACAGAGTGAGACTCCATCTCAAAAAATAAAAAATAAAAAATAAAAAAAATAAAATACTACTGTACCCAGCCCCACCTCCAGAAAATTCTATTGAATTGGTCTGAGCTGGAGCCGGGCATCAGCATGTATTAAAGGCTTCCCAGGGGGATCTAATGGACAGAGCCACTGCCCACATAACCTGGCCCTCCCGCCACCCACCAGGCTCCCTCTGCTCCAGCCTCACTGCCTCTTGCTCATCCCTAAGCATGGTCTTCAGGGCCTTTGCTGGAATACTCTGTCCCTGGCAGTCACCTGGCTTCCTCCCTTACAAGTCATAGCTCACCCCCGATCTTACCAGAGAGGTTGTGACCGTGCTATTCTGGCAGTGCCCTCCCCGCCCAACCGTGTGTCATCACCTCCTTGACCCTGCTTTATTTTGCTCCATTGCACTAATGACTCCTTCTATACCTTATGTTTATTTCCCCACTGGAATGTAGGCTGTGAGAGTAGGGGCTTGACTGTCTTGTGCACTGCTATATTATCAGTGCCGAGCACAGCACCTGGTGCACGGTGGGTGCTTGATAAAAACCTGTTGAAGATAGGCCATCTCTGCCAGCAGGTCTGAGCTTCTAGAAGGCAGGGGCAGAGTGACTTGCATTGTGGCGTCCTGGCATCCAGCACAGAGCTGGGCATGGAGGCTGTGACCAATTCACAGTGCTGATGATTTGCTCTGGAGACAGAGGGGTTTGTGGGGGTGCTGTGGAGTGCCACAACTGGAAGCAAGGGTCTGAGAAGAGATGGCGGTGGGACCAAAGAGGGAGGAAAGAAGCAGGTCTGCGACAGTGCCTGCCCAACACTTGGCTGGCCAGGGTGCCCAGCAGAAGAAGGGGGTGGTGGCCTTGACCACTGAACCCAGATGATAGAGGCTGGATGACTGGGAGCCCACAGGAAGGGTGGGGGCAGGGGAGAGCCAGCTCCAGGTCCCGCCAGGTGGGAGCTGATGTAGACAGCGCCAAGCATGGGAGCTGGTGCCACCTCCACTCTGCAGAGGTCACTCAATAGGACCTTTTGTCTGCAGCTGCAGGGCTGCAAGCTGTATATGCCCCTGCCAAGTGAGCACGGTGAAGGGGAAGGCCAGTCGGGGCCAGGCATTCCCGACCCATCCCACGAGCAGACAGATGGCAAAAGTAAGAGGGGATAGGCAGCTCACTAAAGGGTGCTTTTGGCCAGGGATTCCAGCACAGCAGGGCAGACTGCTGTTTGTGAGAGCTGCAGGCAGAAGGAAATGACTTCATGGGTACCTAGGAAACCCAGGGTTCCAGGACCTGGGCTCTGTTGTGGCCCTGCGTGGTCCCTGAGAGTCCAGGGACAGCTCATGACTCATGTCTGCTTCCCTCCCGAATCCACCTTCCTGCTCAGGAGCCACCATTCTTCCACTGCAAGCCCTTGAGCACCAACTATACACAAGGCTGGATGTGAGCCTGGCCACCCCGCCCCCAAGGCCCTGACAGCTTTCCAGGGTAGGAGCTCAGACTGCCTGATGCTTCCACCTGGACCTCAGAAGCCTCCAGATGTGCCACAGCTGCAGCAGCAAGAACAGCTGCCCCCAGGAAAACTCTTAGAGACACAGGAATGTTTATGGGCCACCTCTGCACATGACACAAGGGTGGGCTCACAAGGTGCTCCTGCAAAGTAGTTCCTGCTCATGTCCTGCTCCCTCTGGGAGGGTCTGCACTGTCTGTATCCCACCACCCTTCTCCACTCCTTCCCCTCCTTCCTTTCCCTGGAGACCAGTGGCTGGGAGGCAGACAGACCTGGGATTCCAATTTGCTGTGTGACACAGGCAAGTCACTTCACCCTTGAGAGCCTCATCATGGGGCTGCAGAGTGGGAAGGAAGGGGGTGGTTGTGAGGCTTCAGCAAGAAGATGCCTGGGCATGGTGCTGCCTGGTACACAGGAGGGAGCTTAATAAACGGGTTCTGTCTAGTCTCCTATTCCCATCAATGCATGTTCCAGCTCCTCCCCTCCCATCAAGCACTACTTGTCTGAGCTGTGGTCCTACATTTTGGTGTCTGGCTATCACACGCTCAGTGAGGAGGTCTAGTCTGGTGGAACTAGAGCCCTGGCCCAGCCCTTATTTCCACAGCCTTGGGAGACATCACCAACCTCTCAGCATTGGCTTCCTCTTCTGAAAAGCCACCTACCCCTCAAGCAAAAGACAAAGTCCTGTCCTTAAGGCCAGGCCTGAAAGTCAGGAAGTGTAGCCTGGGGCCTGGTCTTCTCAGAGTGGTCTTGGGGAGATCAAACCTGCACACTGAACCAGACAACAGCAGGATGCTGAGAACTCTGGGGGCTGTGTGTGACAGGAGGTTGTATCCAGACCCAAGGGAAGAGGCAGTCTGGCAGAAGCAGCAGTGGATTCAAAGTCTGTAGCAATTATTTCAGGGCTTGCTCTCCTGGCCAGTCCCACTGACAGGCACCCACTTGGGCCAATGCCAGGCCACAGGTCAGACTCCCAGGCCTCTACCTCCTCTGCCCACCCACAAACACCACCCATGTTCCTTGCCAAGAGCCAACTCCTGGCTCTCAACACAGCAGCACCCAGAACACAGCAGAAAGGGTGTTGGGGACCCCTCCCGCAGCCCAGGATGGGTTCAAAGAGACACACAAGCCAAACTCTCTATTCACTTTATATACATATATATATATAAGCAAGCGCCACCCACACTCATTAGCCCTGGAGAAGGGTTCTCCATCTTTGGCATCAATCTATCAAAATCAGCTTTTTTGCACGAGACTGATCGCTCCTTTCTGTACAACATGAATTAAATATATTATCTGTCTTTGCGCTGAGTCACAGGACATTCACAGTACAGTGGGGGATGGGGGAGTCCAGGGCTGGTGGAGGCCGAGACTCTGGGGCTGAGGAGTTTGGGCTGGGAAGGAGGCTTGAGTGGGAAGGCCGGGCCTGGCCTCCCCTTGGCCTTTGCCATTCAAGATCCAGCCAAGTGTTGGGAGACCTTGGGAATACAGAGGGGTGCTGGGTAGGGGTGGGGGATGGGTGCTTTATATAGGGGCCACTGCCCCTCAGCCTCCCAGAAGCATGGCTCTTAGGATCAGGGCCTGCTCCAGGGCCACCTTCCTCTACCTCAGGTTGTGGTATTTACACCCCTCCCTGTTGTGAACAACCTCTGGGGAGGCAGGGGGCACAGAGAAGCTGGTACCAGGATCGGGAGATAGAGCCACAGGGAACCCCAGAGTTGAAGTCAGCCTGGCACCCGCGTCAGGGTGACCCCGTGTATCTGAGTGCTGTCCTCGGGACCCTGACCTGGCTTATCAGCGCTCAGGGATGATAAACAGGAACCACTCTCGGAAAGGGGAACAGGTAGGAGCCGGGCCAGAGCTCCAAGGGCAGTGAGCACTTTACCACCTCCAACTTAAGGCAACTCCGTTCAGACTGGGGAGATGGGAGGAGCTGGCAGAGGCGGCAGGCATGCAGCTGGCGGTCACAGGCCACCTCTGGACACAGCTGGGCATCCTTGGAAGGCGTGATGGGGGTTGGGGAGGGACAAGAGCAAGGTAGGGCTGATGAAAAGACGAGATGGGCTATTATTCCTTTTGTTGCTCTGGGGACATCTGCCCCTTGGTGGGCTTTGACAAATGTGGGCACCCAGCATTCTGGGGTCCCAGACAAGATGCCGTATCCCTTCTTGCTCTCAAAGCGAAATAAAGTGATATATGTGTGGGCTTCAATGGGCCAAACAGGAGCCCTGCCAAACTGGTGAGGCAGGCAGGCCCCTGGAGGGAGTCGTGATGGGGCTCGTATCCATGACATGGCACCCAGCCTGGTGCCTGGATTTTCCTGTCCATGTGCATCCCACACTGGTGCCCAAGTGCTTCAGGGTGGGTGAGGGTCTAGGGTCTCTCCCTGCCTCTTCACTTCCTCTCAGGGAAGCAGCTCACACCCAGCCCCAAGGGAGGTGACGGAGGATTGGTGTCCAGGTGAAGGCCACTGGAGAGGCATGTGGGTAGCAGGGAGAAGAAACAGCCATGGCCAGCAGGGCTGCCAAGAGGTTTTCCGGGCTGGCTGTGAGCCCCTTGTTCCTCTGTCCTCTGAGGGCTGTACGGGACCCATCCTACCCTCTCATTGCTCAGGCCAAGCCAGGATGGCCACGGCTCAGAAGATGCTCTGTCGCCGGTTCTTCCCTCGTCCTGGAGAATTGAGAAGAGGTGGGACTGGAGGGAGGAGACTGGGCTGACGGGTACCCAAGACCAGCAGGGACAGTCACCCCCAGGCTGCCCTGACAGAGCAAATGCTCAGGAGCTGGTCAGACCTGGAGTCACATCCCGTCTTGGTTACCTACTAGCTGCGTGAACTTGTGACTTAACCTCCCAGGCCTTAGTTTCATTGACTGTCAAATGGAGAGCGTTAGCAGTACCAACTTCAAGGGGTGTTTTGAGGATGAAAGGAAAAGACAGAAGGAAAGCACTTGTCACATCCATGGCCATTAGCTGTTCCAGGGACAAAGTACCATTCCCCCAGGATGGAGACTGAGTAGACAGCTAGGGAGTTGCAGAGAAAATGTGCCAGAGAAGGCCTGCATCTTTGCCAGGGGCGATCGTCAAATGCAACGTCCCGTCTGGGGTGGGGGTTGAGGAGGGAGTACCTGGACGAGGAAGCCTAGGCAGGAGAGACCAACCCCTTCCTTGTGCCCTGTGGGCCTCGGAGGGAGGCTGGTGGGGACAGGGGCATGAGAGTCCCCACTGGAGAGGGGTCGACAAGGGGAGGGGGCCGAGGAGGCACAAGCCCTACCTGGCTGCTGGAAGGCCAAGCCGCGGTAGCCTGGGTCCTTCTGGAGCTGGATCTCCTTCAGGGAAAAGATGGAGGTAGCTGTGGTGAGAGAAGAGGAAGGCGGAAGGGGCTGGGTGGAGTCGGCCTGCCCTGAGTCTGCTGCCCCGCTCCCTCTGAGCACACTGCTGGAGAGATGCTTCAGCCAGGACCGGCCCAGAAGGACCACAGGCAGCGTCTCACTTCCAGAGTCAGAACTCTTAGTTCTGAACCAGAGCCCCACGAGGGAAAGCCACGTGCCCAAGGCTGCTCAGGGGGACCTGGGGCCTCTGGTCTCTTTGTTCCAGACCTTCTGTCCACACATGCTGGCCCTTTCCTTGTTCTGGGGTAGCCCTGCTCCCTACCCCCAAACTCACTGTCTTCAAGCTGGTGGACGAGCTCTCCCAGAGACCGGAAGTAAGGGTGACTCAGAGCAGCGTCTGCTGACATGCGACTCTTGGATTCATACTGAAAAGCACCAGGTAGGATATTGGACTCCAGCTGGGAGGGTTGCCAGGTCCCCTCTGGGCAGCACCACTCCTATGCTAAGTGAGGTTGCTAAGGTGGGAGGGGCCGAGTCTAACGGGAGAAGCCCCTGAGGTCGGCGGCCAGCCCCCACCTCTAACCCAACCTCAGGCAGTCTCCAGGCCAGGGTCCCAGGTCTCCAGCCACCAGGAAAAACCAGAAATGGGACATCAGGAGAGTGACCTCTTGGGATAGAACTAGAGACGGCCAGAGCAACTATGAGCATAACAGCAATGTGGTTAACATGAGGCCATGCCAAAAACTGCCCTTTACTGTGTCCCATCATCTCAACGTACCCTCTTGACCACCTTATAAAATGTGAATTCTGAATCCCATTTTGCTATTGAGGAAACTGGAGCATAGCCATCTGGGAACTTGCCACAGCTAGTAAGTGGGGTTTGGGTTCGAAATGCACACACTCCAAAGGCTGTGTATAGAAATCGGCTCTCCTGCTGCGTCTTGAGGGAGGCGAGGACAGGGAGCGATTTCAAAAACTTATGAGCACAAAAGTCACAGAAATGGGGTGCAGGCCCAGGGCGGGGTACTGGGGCTCTCCTTCCCTGCCTCTCCCTGAGCTCCAGCTGGGAGGACACTCACCAGGAGGAGGCCGGTCAAGAGGCTGATGCCCTCAGTATCCAATCTGCAAGAAAGAGTCGTTGACACAGGCTGTGTCTGAGTGAGGGTAAGC